GGTAAGATAGCTGACTAGAGAAGTCAAATGTGCAGGCCTCTCATAAAAAAGGACAAAACAATAATCTATATTTTGACCAAAGTATTTAAAGGAAGGGCCAGAATATAGGAAGAGTGTGGCAGAAAGCCTATGAAGCAATCTCAGCTGGCCACATAGATTAAGGAGGCAAACATCTTGCCTCTGCCCTTCATGCCCCCAGTGAGGATTGGCTTGGAACCAAGAAAGACTTCTTCCCTTAGGGAAAAGCTAAGCCCAAGCCCCTAGTCAATGCTATTACCACTGTAAGCACCTACAGTCTCTGCCACTAGAGTCCTGCTGTCCTCCCAGGTCCTGACCCCACTGTAGGAAGCTTCCTGGAGTTCACACAGCTGTATTATAATACAAGGAGCCCATGTTGTACACTGTCCACTGCGGCCCCACTCCTACTCCGCTGTGCCATCTTGAAATTGCAATCATTGCTCTGGATCTGCTCCTGCTTAAAGGACCAGAAGCCACTTTATCTGCATGGAGACTATATTACTATGCCCACCTTGAAGCAGATTCAGTGCACCCTCCTCAAGTGGTATCCTAGGACCTATTTATAGGTGAAAGACTTTCCCTACTAAAGTCACTCAAAAAAATGCAGAAGATGTGACTGTTTCACCAGAGATACCAACATTAGTGTAGGGAAACAAGAAACAGAAAGTCAAGACAACATGACTCCACCAAAGGAATACAAAAATTCTCCAGTAGCTGACCCTATTAAAATGGGATTTTACAAAATTGCCTGAAAAGGACTTCAAAATTAGGATATTAAGGAAAATCAAGGAAACAGAAGAAAATACAAGCAGGTAACTTAATGAAATCAGGACAATTCCATGATATGAAGGAAAATTCAACAAGAAATCAGATTCCATAAAAAAGAACCAAAGAAAAATGTTAGAGTTGAAGAATTCAATGAATGAAATAAAATATAAAATTGAGAGTTTCTGTAACAGACTTTACCAAACTTGGGGGAGAGGGGGTAGTTACTGAAAAAAATGAAGAAATGCTTACTTTCTGCATTCTTATAGGACATCATTAAGCAAACAAATATTTATAGTGTGGGAGTTCAAGAAGGGAAAGAAGTGGACAAAAGCAGAGAAGGCTTATTTAACAAAATAAACACTAAAAACTTTCCAAGTCTTTGGAAACATGTGGACTCCAGATCTATTTAGCTCGAGTCCCAAAATAGGTTCATCCCAAAAGGGTCTTCACTGAGATACATTATAATAAGAATGTCAAGGGCCGGGGATTTAGCTCAGTGGTTTCGCCACCTGCTGCGCAAGCACAAGGACAAGGACCCGAGTTCGATCCCCAGTACCAAAAAAAGAGTGAAAAGACAAAGAAGAAATTTTAAAGACAGTGAGAAAAAGGGGTCAAATTGCATAAAAGGGAATATCCAGTAAGTTCTCAGTGTATTACTTAGTAGAAACCTTGCAGACCAGGAAAGAATGCGATTATATATTCAAAGTGATGAAAGAAAAAAAAGGACACCCAAGAATACAGCTAGCAAAGCTATTCTTCAGAAATGAAGGAGAAATAGTCTTTCTCAGACAAGCAAAATCTGAGGTAATTTATCACCACTAAGTCTGCCTTACAAGCCTGCCTTAAGGGAATTCTTCAACCAAAAAACAAAAGGGCAGTAATTGTTATTATGAAAATGTATTAAAGTCTAAAACACACTGACAGAGGTAAATATAAAGTTAAATTCAGTATACTTCATTACTGCAATGGTGATAGGTAAAATAGTCTATTACAACTTTAAGATGTTTCATGTAAGCTTCATGATCACAAAGCAAAAAACTGTAGCAGATACACAAATTACATGGAGTCAAATTTAGCATTTATAGAAAATCATCAAATCACAAAGGTCATAAACAAAGGAATAAAGGGTCTATAAAACAACCAGAAAATAATTTTTAAAATGATAAGACTAAGTCTTCGGCTGTCAGTAATAACTCTGGATGTAACTGGATTAAACTGTCCAATCAAAAGATACAAAATAGTGGGCTGGGGATTTAGCTCAGTAGTTCTGGTGCCTGCCACGAAAGCTCAAGGTCCCGAGTTCATTCCCAGGTACCAAAAAAAAAAAAAAAAAAAAAAAAATACAAAGTAGCTGAATGGATTAAAACAACAGATTCAACTACACACTGCAGATAAGAGATTCACTTTAGCTTTAAGGACACAGAGAGGCTGAAAGTGAAGGCACAGCAGAAGATATTGCATGCAAATAGTAACCAAAAGAGAGAAGGGGTGGCTATCCTTTTATGAGATAAAATATACTTCCAGTCAAAATGGTCAGAATAGACACACAAGGCTTTTATTTAATGATAAAAGGGGTCAACTCAACAAAAAGTTATAACAACTGTAAGTACATTTATGCAACTCAATGTTGGAACATCTAAATATATAAAGGAAAAATTTATGGATATGTAGGGCAAAATAGATTGCAATCCAATACATAGTAGGTGATGACCCTGTATCCAACTTAATGACCCTGTGATCCAATTACCTTCCCCAAACTCCACCTCTGAACATATGAGATTTTGGTGGGATATTCTAGATCTAAACCATAAGACTTGGGTACTAAATGAGCACATATAGGTTTACACTAACTTTCGTACAGTAGTTGTGGTATTATTAAAAATGCAGGACCGGGTGTGGTGGTGCACAACTGTAATCACAGCACTTAGGAGGTTGAGGCAGGAGGATTACTTCAAGTTTGAGGCCAGCCTGGGCTACATAGTGAGCTCAAGACTAGGCTGAAATACATGATGAGATAATCTCAAAGAAAAAAACAAAAACAAAACAAAACAGAAACAACCAAAAAAAAAAAAAAAGCAGGAAAATGAGAAATAAGCTATTTAAAGAAGTCTGAGAAATTGCTCTTAAGAAAACTACAACACAATATGCTTAAAACCACATTAAATGTATTCGTGTGCCATATTTCTGTCTACTAAGAGCAGATTTTAGGAAGAAAAAGAATGACAAGCTCTTGCTTTGAGTTCTCTGACATATATTAACTTGAACTGTTGGAAACATAACATTCTGAGTTACTCAAGTAGATTGTGTCTAGAGAAAAGAGTGTAAGTCCCTTTGATAAAGGTGCTATACTACTACCTCACATGCCAATCACAGAATGAACTAAGAAACAGCCATTTGTCCTACCTTGGGGGAATACAAGTAATATAGCAAAGCAAGAATACTGTACGGGTCTATTGCCAAAATAACGCCTGTATGTGCATACTGTTGAGAGTAGATAGGCAGTGGCTGACCCAGTCTCTATGACTATGGAATATTACATAATCAAAGCCATGTAGACTATTATCAAGTACTTTGATGCCCCATGTCATTTTGCATTAACTGTTCACATTTTTAAAAAATAAGGCCAAATTGTACTAAGCATAAGCTCATCATATTTAATAGATAAATTACTAAATACCTTCATGAACTACGTGGAATGTTGGAATGAACTATTAAAGACAAAAAGTTACAAAAGAGTAATGCTCCTTATAGCCTGTAATTGTGGTAATGCAGTGGAATACAAGGATGATAGCAGCAGGCCTGTCATGAGAAAAGCGAACTTAAAACATACACACGTACGTGCACACACATACAGGGAGTTCTATGCTGACTCATCCTGATAGTCTTTACCCACTTTAAAAATCAGCATAGGGGGCCGGGGATTTAGCTCAGTGGCACTGTGCCTGCCTTGCAAGCGCAAGGACCTGAGTTCGATAACCGATACCAAAAAAACAAAACCAAAAAAGAAAATCACCATAGGCTGGAATGTTTCTAATTTTTGTGCTAAGAATTCAATCCCAAGAGAAATAAGGCAAATTGTTCTCAACTGCTATATATATGTGTCACCAAGTATAGGTTCACAGCTATTTTTCTTATCAAGTTAAGTTTGAAAGGAATTTGGGTAATAGAAGTGATCATTACCTCTGACTATGAAGATAATTATCGCTAATTTGGTTGCTACAACTTTCTCTTGAGGAAAAAGTTCTAAATAAGTGAAAGTGACTATTCGTAAATTAGACTTAGTGAACTAAAAAGTGATAAAGTGAAAGTTATTGTTTCACATTAATTCCCTATCAATGATATATCTTTTTGTAAAAAAAGGAAAAGAAAAACAAGAAACACTGGATTAAAAACATGATTCAAAGAGCTCAGTAATTTAAAGCCAGGTACAATTTTAGACAACAGGCCAGGAAATAATCTTGGGGAAGATGGACCACTACCATAGTTACTGTTTCATTATTCAAGTGTTATTCATATGCAGTCTCAAGTTTAGGAAAGACAAGGGGGAATAAGAAGACAGTTCTTCACTGCTGGACTTTTTTTGTTTGTTTGTTTGTTTTGAGGCAGGGTTTCTTTTTGTAATTCAGGCTGAACCTGAAATCACAATGTAGCCCAGGCTGGCCTTGAACTCATGGTGATCCTCCTGCCTCAGCCTTTTGAGTGCTGGGATTACAGGCATGTGCCACCACGCCTGGCTCACTGCTGGACTTTTGAAAATAAAGAGAAAATATAACTAGTGGAGTTGGAGAACTTTTCCCTAAAATTATTTCAAATGAAAATAAAAGGTAATTTATTGAAAAGCCCTTAGTTTTATTTCTGACTTCTGGAGTTCTGACTTTTCTACTCATTCTCTAGCATATATAAGACAGCATTATAAATCAATGGCAGAAGGAAGATGTTATTACATGATGCTTGCTCTTTTGCTACTTGGTAACATAAAATAAAAAAAAATTTAAGGTAAATACAATAAATTAAGTTCTCATTTCAAATTAAGCCCAAAATTAACTTCTTGATAGATTGTCCTTAAATTTACTGCAGAGAGAGAAAAAGGGAGGATGAAAATGAGAACAAAAAATGAAAAAAAGAATTACAAAATTATGATGCTGATTTACTACCCAGCAAGAAATATGAGAATATTAATATAAGCAAGATTAAGAATATGAGCTAAATCTTACATGTTCTTCCCACACTTTCTTTTCTCTCTCATATGCTTCCTTTCTCTTTCGCTCTAGTTGTTCTTTTAGTATAGCAGCACGTGCATTTGTCTGGACCTGAAAATAAAAATGATCAATAAATTAGTTATTAGAAAGAGTGCATATAGCCCCAGGTCTAAATGTCCAGACTTATTAGCCAACAAAGAAGAATGTGTGTTTCAGAATAAAAATGTAAGCTCACTCTAATTGGAAGACCCTGGAGTCTGGCTTGACATATACTTCTGATCAATATGTAAATAATTGCTGAATGAAAATAAATGCTGATATATTAGAATGAAATTAAAATACAGAGTAATTGTTGTATATAACCTCACTTATCTTCAGAGAAATGAATAACTGTACTTCATTTATAAGGTTATATTTTGTTTTTAGAAGTTCTATGTCATAGTTTCATGTATTTATGCCATGATTTCATCTAATTGCTCTTTATAAATATGATATAAAGAAAAACATTATTTTCCAGAAGTCAGAAAGTGAAACAGTGAAAAATAAAGCAAGAGAATAAAGTCATCTAACTGTGCAAAACACAATTTTCCATATTATCTTTCAATTTCCTCCAAGAAACTGTATTATTTCTAGTCATACCTTAATGGATTCAATTTTTTTGCGCCTCAAGTCAGCCTCTTCACTTTCTTCTTGCCCTTCGCAACTACCAGCTTCTTTCTATAAAATGAGTAGATAAGCTCACCACTTGGGACACAACCTTCAAGTTCAGTGCAGAGCTCTATGAGATAATATAAATAAACTAACAGCTAAAAATGTAAACTGAGAAACTGCCAACACTGTTTTCTTCTAAAGCTGCAACTGAAGTCTTCACAATCATCAACTCCATGGACAATCAAATAAAAAATTTAAAAAGAATGCTATAAAACACACATTAATAGTTTAATGGACACTAGTTCTACTGTCCTCACAGAATTATTCTGGAACGGTCTTATAAATTTTAAATCCTAGACATAAGATTTACTTTTACAAAGTTCAGTTTTCTGAACTTTGATTTTTACTGTCTACATCAGTTTTTTTTTTTTTACTGAATTTTTGATCTTAATCTATAATAATATCATCAATCACTTTCTATTTATCCATTTGTTTTTTGGAGGTAGTATTAAGAACCAAACCTAAGGTCTCAAACATGCCAGGCAAGTGCTCTGTCACTGAGCTATATCCCTAGCCTTCAATTACATTGTAAAAATTAACTTTTAACTTACCTTTTCACCACGAAGTTTGGCTTTAATTTGCTGACGCTCATTGAAATTCTGTAGTCTTATTTGCCTCAGCCTTGCCAGATAAACCTACAAAAAGGAAAAAACACTCAACATATTCATTTAAAAGAAAAATTATCACATTTTTGATGCTAAAAAACTCAATTCAAGAAAAAGTGTTAATCTAAATGCAAGAAATAAAAGTTCTGAAATTTGATTAATGGCAATGTAGTATTAGCTTCCAAGAGTTTAATTTAGAGCAATTTTTTTCTGAAAAGAAATATATTAAAACCACATATTTTTAATTTTATCAAGAGAAAAGAAATTGAACTCAGAAAACTGAATAACAGTTATGGGACAAAATTATGACACAGCATAATTACATTAAGTCACAATATATTAAGCAATCCCTACAGACTTACAAAATCTTCAAATAACTGTTAAGAATTTAAACCATGCAAAAAAGGAAAGCGATAAACTCAAAAATGGCTGTGTGATGGAGGTAGCGAACATGCGGAAGCATACCTCTTCCTCTTTGTTTCTTGGCTTCCCTCCTCTTGAAGAGCTGGGCCTGCCTCCATACATAGCTGCCAGGTTTTGCAGGATTCCCTGTTTATCATTTAATGTACTAAGTTTAAAGAATGACTGGGGCTACATCATCATCTTACCTAGGAATATCCATGTGGCACTTTAAAGAGACTTTTACAACCCGTTTATAGGTTAGATAAACCCTGAGTCAAATTTTTCCTCGAAAAAGGGTAAATCATCTCAAAGGGCCATTCCATTTCTACATAGGTCTATGTATATACTGCACATATGCACACATGCACACAAGCTCACTGCTGAACTCAGCAAATATGTTGTATATTAACTATAAGACCTAAATTAAACTATTTGCTCTCAGGCATGTTCTATTACTATACTGCCAGTGATCAAATGACTCATTTTTAAACATTATGGAATTATATTAACATGGAATTACCTTATGGGAAATTAATATACTTCAATAAAACTATCAGATTCTCAAATTACCTCATTTGTCCTTCCAGCTTGAAAAATTTCTTAGTTCCACTTATTTGTCTAGTATTTTTATCAGTTTATTGCAAATGTGCCTTTTATATTCATCATCTCCATTTTCCTGATTGCCATCATTTTTTAACCACCTACATTCTGATTTCTTTTTTTTTTTTTTGGTTTTTTTTTTTTTGGTACTGGGGTTTGAACTCGGGTCCCTGTTAAACCCCTACATTGTGGTTTGTGGTCCCACTGAGGATTTCTAAGATCACTGAAGTCCTTAGATATGATTCATATAGAGCTTGCTAAGCAAGTTTTATATTTATTCTCACTGAAACTCAGTTTTGACTAACTTGTCTATACTCTTCTATAATAACAATGTATGTTTATAGGAGAAAATGTATAAAATAAAGAAAATATGAGTTGTGTATAATTCTAACTTCAGAGAAATTTAAATTCAGGGCATTATCTTCCAAATTTTCTTTATTCATATGTATGGACACACGCTTATTTTTATAGAAACAAGGATTTATATACTTATGATTTTTTTAGTCCGTTTTATATCCTGATTCTCCTCCATATTGAATTAATGCTTCTTAAAAACATTACTCTTAAGAGCCGATCCCAGTGATGAGGAGCACAGCCGCTGCCAGTCCCAAGCAGGAGCTTTCCATGATGCTGTACCACCACCCCCAGCGCCAAAGAGCAGAGCTGCCACCAGTGCCAAGGAGGAGCCTTTTGGGCCACCATACCACTGTCCCCAGTGCCCAGGAGCAGAGCCGCCCACAGGGCCCAGGAGGGGAGGTGCATGGGCAACAGCAGCACACCGCCCCCTTCCCTGGTGAAATGAGAAGACACGTAAACAAGTCTCAAAACCAGACTTCCAGATCACCTAAAGCAACCCCAAAGGGAAACGAGATGGGACAATCTGATATTCAAACACCTGGACTCCCTGAACTGGAAACAAAAGAGGATCTGAAAAAAATGGTATCAGAAATAATTTCTCACATAACAGCAGAAATTGGGATCATTCTGCAAGACATGATTAATACATCTAGAGAGGACAAAGGTTAAAAAATAGAGGAGCCGAGGAACGTGATGGAATCACAAAATAGGAAACAAATGGAATCCATAAAACACATACAAACAGATTTCCAGGAGATTAAAAATTCCATTGAAAGTTTATACAGCAGAATGAGCCAATGTGAAGACAGAATTTCAGATACAGAAGATAAGATTGCAATTACAGATCAGAAAAAGAAAAATTTCTTAAAAATAGTAAATGACCACGAGAAATCAATCCAGCAGCTAACAGACGATGCAAAGTAGAATAACAAAAGACATATCGGAGTCCATGAAGAAACAGGAGAGAGTGCAGATGACATCAAGAAACCATTCACAGAAGTGATGGCAGAAAACCTCCCAAGCAGGGGAAAATAACTTGATATATACATAAGTGAGGCATGTAGGACTCCAACTAGCCTTGATCAGAAAAAATCTATACATAGGCATATAATTGTTAAGATTCCAGAAACCCAACAGAAGAATAAAATTCTACAAGCAGTTAGAGAAAAGAAACAAATAACATACAAAGGAAAGCCCATCAGAATCACAGCAGACTTCTCAACACAAACTCTCAAGACAAGAAGAGCTTGGAGTGATGTATTCCTGTTTTTCTAAAGGAAAAATGCCTCCAACCCAGATTGATGTACCCTGCAAAACTATCTTTCAAAATTGATGGAGAAATAAGATGCTTCCAGGACAAGGAGCAACTTAGGAACTTCATGAACACCAAACAAGCACTCCAAAAAATTTTAGACAATGTCCTAGGAAAAGACAACAAAGATCACAACCCCAGGAAGCACAGCAGAATGAATCCACTGGGCACGACAAAAAAATAAACTTAAAGGGGGAGAATCCAACAAAAAGAAAAAGTCATGACAAGGATAAGTCAATACATATAAAGTTATAACTATCAATGTTAATGGTCTCAATCCACCAATCAAAAGAAATAGACTGGCAGAATGGGTCAAGAAGCAAGATCCAATAACATGTGGCATACAAGAAACACACTTAAGTCAAAAAGAAACTCATAGA